GAATAAAAGATTGCCTGGCTTCTAAAACTCATCAGTTGAGTCTCAGAGGTTCTTGTAAGAAATTTTAGGTAACACCTGAACTTTTGTGTGTACTTCTGAGTTCCGTTGGAAAGAGACTGTCCAGGGAAGAGGAATCTTGCTCAGTGCAAGAAGTTGCCCTTGATGAACTTCCTATCTGAGCTGATGGCCTTGGCAGGAGAAGTGCTCAGCAAGGAGGCTCTTTGCTCCTAGACAGGAAGAAAGGCCAGTGCCCTTCCTCCCCAAGGCCCAGCCCAGCAGGGCTGGCAGGAGCTGCTGGTGTGGCTGCTCTTTGGGTTCTCAGCTGTGGCTGTGGGGTGGTGACCTCGTGTTCCTCCCTGTGCTCCAGGGCAGCCCAAAGCCCCAGCCCAGCCCCTGGGCCTTTCTGGGAGCCTGAGCTATTGTAGTACTGGGGATGGGGGTTTGGGTTTTTGTTTCCCTAAAAGTAGAACCATTGGGGGGGATCTCTTATCTCACAGTTGTTGTTGTTTTGATATCTTAATTAATTACAACTTGAGAAGAAAACCTTGTGTAACTTAGCAACTGACTTGCACTGGTTCCACTGAAAGTGCCAAGGAGTTGTAGTGTCCACTGGATTGTTTGTATTGAAGCAGTTTGGTGTTTACAGAGGGATAATAACTCCTGTCAGCAGCAAGGTCCTGACTGAAGTGGCAGCTGCAGTTGTTCCAGTGGTGTGGGCCAGTGGAATTCCAAGAAAATGGACAAGGACAGAACCTGTAAGAATTACCCCTAAGCCAGAGTCTCTCCTGGTAAGGCAAACCAAGTATCCTTTAAAATTAGGAAGCCAAGCTGGATTGGTTCTAGTAAGAGCTAAATTTGCTGCTGATGGTTTGATAGTAGAATGTGAATGCAAGGAGCTGTAAAGAAAGGAAATGGGCAAGATGATTGATTGCTGGGAGCAGGGGCTGGCAGACAGTGGCACTGGCTGTTTGGTTGTGGTTGGGAATGAGCAGCTTGACCTGCCCAGGGTTGTCTGTGCTGGGGGTGGGTTTGGGTCCTGTGTGGCCACAGGTCTGTGCAGCAGCTGGAGCCTGGGCAGGTTTGGGGGCTGTGGTGTGCCAGGCTGCTGAGTGTGTTGTCCCTGTTTCCTTGGAGTGTCCCAGTGTCCCTGCTTGGCTGTTTGTTGCCCTGCAGGCAGAAGAGCCCAGGCCTGAGATGGCTGAGTGTTGGTGTGACCCAGAGTGGGTGTCCCTGCCCTGGGGACAGTCCCCAGAGCTGCCTTTGGCATCCCCTGCTGAAGGGTGGGAGCTGCCCAGAGCCAGCAGCATCCAGCTGGAGGATCCAGGAGGATGCAGCTGTGTTTTCCTGGGAGGTAAGAGGTGGGGGTGCAGGAGCTGGCAGGAGTGTTTTGCAGGCAGAGGGAGGGCAGGAGCAGGAGACTTGCAGGTGCAGCAGCTGTGTCAGTGCTGGATGGAGTCGGGGCTGGGAAAGGGCCCTGAGTGTCAGGGCAGGGGAGAGCCCCGGGTGGCCCTGGGAGCCCTGGGGCTGTGAACAAGTGCAGTGGGCAAAGGAATGGGCACTGGAGAGCTGGGCAAACAGCTGGAGGAGTTGCAAGGAGAACCAGGAGACTGGGATCCAGGAGCAGCAGCAGCTCCCTGTGTGTGTGTGTAGAACCAGGTGTACTGCAGCCCCGAGTGAGGTGGGAAATGAACCTCAGGAGGCTGGGAACGAGTCCCACAAACTGGTTAAAGTGGGATGGACTCTTCCCAAGTGCCTGAAAAGCTTTTCTTCAGTGTTGCTTTCTCAATTGAAAACTGGAGTGATTGTTGAGGTGTTGGCAGTTGTTTTCCTGTGTTTTTGGTGAGGTGTTGACTCAGTACCTTTCTTGGAGCTGCTGCTGGATGAAGAGGTGCCCCCAATTCACCTGTAAGGTCCTGGTTTTCTTCCTTGCTTCTCCCAGATTGTCCAGGAGATGGAATTCCAGTGCTACAGTCTAGATGGGTCGTGGTGCTCCCAAAAGGAGCCTTTGTGCCTTCAGGACAAGTTTTGGTGCCACTGGAGCTGCTGGGAGAAGCATAAGGTTGGCAGTGAGAGGCCTGGAATGATGTTGCTGTGGCACAGAAGAAATGAGCAGTGATGGTACAATTGACTATTTTCTCTTGAATGCAATGGTAAGAGCTCCAGGAATGCAAGGTGTGTGTTCCAGTCCCCAGCATTTGGTTTGCACATGTCCTGCTCAGACACAGGTCCAACTTCCTCAGTCCTTAACACAAGAGAAGGAGAATTAAGGACTGGCAGAGTTAAGGTGACTGGTGTGACAGGGGTTAAACTGGGAAAACATTGGGGAATTTCTCAGTTTGTCTCTTTGCCAAACTCACCCAAACCTGTGCTAGGAAGAGATTGATTGAGAAAGTTGAGGCAGAAATGGGGATGTTGAAACTGTAATTGCTGGAACTAAATGTGTCAAAGCAGCAGCTCTTGTTGTGCAGGGAATAACTCCTGTCAGCAGCAAGGTCCTGACTGAAGTGGCAGCTGCAGTTGTTCCTGTGGTGTGGGCCAGTGGAGTTCCAGGAGAGTGGAAGAGGGCAGAACCTGTAGGTATTACCCCTGATGTGGGATCTATATGGGTAAGGCAAAGCCAGTATCCTTTAAAATCAGAATGCCAGCTTGGATTGGTTGCAGTAACAGCTAAATTGGCTCATCCTGGTTTGCTTGTAGGACGTGAATGCAAGAACCTGCCAAGGAACCAATGGCCAAGATGATTGATGAGTGCAGGACCTGAGAGAACCACCTTGAATGACAATCTCCAGGAGTTTCCAGTATTGGATTTAAAAGATGGCCTTTGGTGCATCTCCTTGAGCAAGGAAAGCCAAGAAACCTTTGCTTTTGAAGGAGAAAATCTGGAAAGGGGAAAGGAAGAGGAGAAGCCACCTGACTTCTCCCTTAGCTCGAGACAGCCCCTGAACTGCCTTCCTGGGAATGGTAGGACGGGGTGGACTCTGGATTGCTCCCTCTGGATGTGTGGTAAGACTGTTATACCAGCTTTTAAGAAGAGCCTGTAAGCATTTGCTGCCTTGGCTAGATGGTGCAAGGGCAGCCTTTAAGCAGCTGAAGCATTCCCTGAGGAGAGCTCTGGGTCTGCCAGATCTCTCAGAACTGTTGGAAGCATCTTTGCTGGGGAGGGCAAACAAAGGACAAGGTGTGCAGTGACCCCCCAACAAGGGACTTGGAGTTAATGGCATCCCTGCAAGTGAACTTTGTGGGCTGTTCCCCCTGTAGGGCAGGTGATAGTTCCAGCTAGAGTGATGGGAAAAATGGTTAAAAGAGAGCCCCAAAAGCTGGAAATCCTCCTGGAGGCTCTTGGCAAAGAGAGTTTCCTGAGTTGCCCCTGCAAGAAGGATAGTGACAGCTTTTGAGTGCTAGTAGATGCTTTTAATAGATAGCCTTGAGGTGTCCTTGTTGCACCAGTAGGCCTTGTCAAAGTCCCCATATTCCAGGAGATATACCTATTGAAGTTGAAAATGATGTCCATAATCCTTTGTTGGCTTGAGGCTCTCCCCTGAGGAACTCCAGGAACTCCTGGTGCCGCCTGGGCCGATGGATTGGACGCCCCAGCCCCTGCGTTCCTGCCCAGCCCCTGGGTCCGTGTCGAGTGGTGGCACTGCCAGCCCTGCAGGTGAAGTGGGAAGGGCCTTTCCAGGTCTTGTGGGTCACATCTATAGCAGCTGAAGTTGCAGAAAAAGGACCTGGTGTTTATTATTCCTGGGTTAGGAAAGCTCCTTTTGGTTGGTGAGCAGAACAAAGTGGATCCTTCAGAGTTCCCATCCGTGTTTGTGTCTCAGCCTGTGTTATGATTCAGGGCTGTAGCTGTTGTTGTCACTGAGGAGTCAAACTCTGCTTTAAATCATGAGACACTGGCCTAATGGCCAAGTGTCAGGAAAAAAGTGGGAATGATACCTGAGTGTTGAGATGTAACAAGAGGTAATCCTTTTTGCAGTGGGATGTAGCCTGGAAACTGCACAGAGCTGAGCCAAGGGATTTAAAGGGACTAACCAAGGGAGGTGAAGAAAGAAGGGAAGTGAGGCAGCAGCCAAGCAGCACCAAGTTCCTGTGTCAGCAGGTGAGTTCTCTTGAAATTCCTAAGGCAGGCACTGAGGACTTTGAGGGCTCCAGACAGAGCAGACCTGCGAAGGCCCTCGGTGAAGCCCCTTGGAAACCTTCTAAGGGTAGGTGTGTATGGTAATGAGTGTTGGAAAATGTCCTGAGTGGGATTAGGAATGCAGGGAAGGAAAATGAACCCTCCTGTAATGCTGACCCCTCCCATCAGCTGCAGTGGAGATAGCTGTGTGTGCCCTTTGGGAGCTGATTGCCAGGACACCCGGTGGGCTGGGATCATGGCAGGATGTTGTAAGCAAGGAATGCCTGGCTTCTAAACCTCACCAGCTGAATCTTAGAGGCTTCTTTGAAGAGCTGAGTTCAGGCAGCAGAATTGGCCCTGCAGGAGGGACTCTGTGCCTGCTCTCCCGTGGCTCCAAGGGATCTCTGGCCCTTCACGCCGGCACCGAGATTTTCTCGGGAAGGGCCTCAGATCCCCGGACCAGTCTGGGACACAGGCAAGATCCCCCTGCATTTTGGGACCAAATTGGGCCCCCCTGGAGGGACAGTGCTGTTGGTGCCCCCCGGGTTGGGGCACCCCGAGGACTCCAGCGCGCACCGAAAGGATTATTCGGGGAGATCCTCGGGGTGCCCGGCCCTGGGGAGTTCAAAGCAAGGTCCCTGCACTGGATTCAGGCATTGCTGAGAGTATCCCAGGTGTAGCTGTCCATGCTAGACATGGAGCTCTCTAATGGACTGTAATTGGGTTCTAAAAGTGGTGCTCCAAGTGCAAAGGAAGTGTGGGATTGGGATTAAGAAACGAGCAGTGATGGTCCAATTGGCTGTTTTCTCTTGAATGTAATGGTAAGAGCTGCAGGAGTGCAAGGTGTGTGTTCCAGTCCCCAGCATTTGGTTTGCACATGTCCTGGTCAGACCCAGGTCCAACTTCCTCAGTCCTTAACCCAATCGAGGGAGAATTAAGGACTGGCAGTGTTAAGGTGTGTAGGGAATTGGCTATAGAACACGGCTTGCCTAGGCCGTGAGAAAATCTGAGATAGCAGAGCTACAGTGTCTTTGCCTGCTAGAGCTACAGTGTCTTTGTGCCTGCTAGTTGGCTGGTAAACAGGTCGTTGTGATTAGCAAAACAAAAAGCAACTGAAAGCCACCTGTGTCAACAAAGGAAGGGAGTGAGAGACAGAATTAACATCTAAGTGTCAACAAAGGAAGGGATTAAGAGGTGAGATCAACATTTAAGCAGAACCAATAATGAGCTTAACCTTTGCAATATGTATGAGCTAATTCTAAAGCATATATTAAGCTGTTAACAATGATCAATAAACGAAGCTTGCTGATTCTCATATTGAGGGTCCCTTTCTTCCCTCGTTACGACGAATCGCGCCGAGCAAGGGGCAATAAACGAGTATCCTGCGGAGTTTTGCACGGAACCCGCGGTCCCCGAAGCTTGAACAGGGGCTAAGTTAAATCTGCAGCCCCAGGGGCTAAGTTAAATCTGCGGCCACAAGGGCTAAGTTGAATCTGCGGCCCAAGGGACTAAGTTGAATCTGCGGTCCCCGGAACCTGAACAGGGGGTAAGTTAAATCTGCACTCCCCGAAGCCACGGTCTAACGCAGTAGCCGGTCGGTCTTGGAGCAGCACAAGAGGCGAAAGAGCTGGACTCCGCGCCCCAGGCGACCTTACAGAAGGGTCCTGGCCGACAACACCGCCGATGTCTTGTAAAGGGCTGCAACAGCGCGCTGAAGATTTATAGGTATGGAAAGACAAGCGGTGCTTTTATTATTCCAGTGCTTTTTAGAAAAGCGGGGACTTAAGGGTATAGATTTGAAAAAAGAATTACCAAGATTGCTTACGACGGGGGTTGCTGAAAGTTGTCTTGTGGACCCTAATACAGTTTTTGATGAGAGTGGAGACGTTATGAGGTTAAGTTGTGGGAGGTTGCCGCGGAGACGGAGCTCGGTGTAACATGAGAGAAGTGGAGAAGCTGCCAGGCCAGCCAGACAAGACGCCTGGACAGGTGAGCCACCGAGAACAAGAGGGATCTAATGTTGCATCTATATGGAAGTCTATCCTGCTTAAAAAAGGGAGAAAAATTAGACGAACTGGCTTTGCGGCAGATGCTGCTTTCATGTAAGGGCCAGGGATATGAAGCGAACACTGTAACTGCCTTTACTATCTCTACTTGGGAAGAACTTAGTGATAAGCTCTTTACTGCTGCCTTTAAGGGAGAAAAAGTTGCTGCTTCCCTCCTTACAACTTGGCGATTGTTATCTGGAACAGTAAAAGACATTAAAGCACAGTCTGAGGACATTAGAATGCTACTAGATACCATCATACGGAGAAATCGTGTAAAAAGGGAGTCGAGCGGAGTTGAAGGGAGCCGGAGCGGGACCACAGATCACGGAGCGGGGCCGGGGACAACCGAGCGGCCCCGCCAACATGAACGCGGTGCCAGCGTCTCGGCAGTGCATATCCAGGACGATCGGAGACGACAGCTGCAGTGTGAAAGTACTGCTGATAGAGCAGGGATGAACTTTACGAACACTATGACTGAGTTCCACCTTAAGACATTTCCAGCTTTTCATCTGAACGGTGCTGCGGGCCTGCGCTGCACATTTGTGGCTGTGTTCACGGCGCTGGGTGCTTGCGCCGCCGTGCTGAGTGAATACGGGGCGGCGCCGGGCAGCGGGGCAGTGGCGGTGGTCGCGCCGCCTGCGTGGCCCCGGCTCGGAGCGCTCCCGGCTGACACAGAGCCGGGGGACGGTGGAATCGCCCGGAGCGGTGCTCGGCCCCGGCTCGGAGCGGTGCGCCCGTGTGCGTGCACGCCGGCGGCCCCGGGCGCGGCGGGCGGCGGGGGGGCTCTGTTTTCCCCGCACTGCTGACAGCCGTGGGCCCGGGGGTGTGCGTTCCCCTTCCCTTCTTTGCAGCGAGTGTTTTCTCCCTGGTGCCGCTCCTCTTCCTAGAGCGGCGAGTTAATGACGGTAGCAAAAGCTTCAGAGGGTGCAGCTGGGGGAGAGGGAAAGCTGTTTCTCTTTTTCCCCGTTACACCAATCACCCCTTCTCTGAAACGTGCCTGTTTGCAGCTGTTCTCTCCCTCTCCTACGTTTTTGTCTCTTTTTAAGCAGACCCTGTGATTAAGTTAAGTTCCTTCTGCTGATCTCTCTGGGTGAGCCCAGCCCCTCCTTCCCCTCCTTCGTCCTTCGGCAATGAGGAGCGTGGGGGAGGCAAAGACGGTAAAACACGGAAAAAAGGGAAAAGAGAAAAAACAACTTAAAATTAACAATATCCCAACTTATAAATCAAATAAGATTGCATTGTTTTTACAGCAATAGGTGTTAAGCATGCAGTGTGCTCATGGCATTCTCAAACGTTTTCTTCAAAACAGGGAGACTGACGAAAAATCCTTTGAAGTAAGATTAGAAATAACAGAACATCCGTGCTTAGCTTTTTGCATATTACAGAAGGTTATTAAGAACTTCCTATAGTTTGCCATTTCGCATCTCTTACGTGAAATTTGGCTGTTTCCCCCTGGGGCAGGGTGCAGGTAGAAGATTTGGAGACTGAACGATGAGACAGAAGGGGATATAGTCTTGCCCCCTGCAAAAGTAGTTTTATTGCCTTTATGATAAAATATCGTTGCTCTATGAGAAGAGTTGAAGATTTCCAAGATAATATTCTGTTCTTTCTTGCTGTATTTGTCTTTTACATGGAGAGTTATGCGGGATTTGCAGATTGCTGATGGCAGCTATGCCATAAATTTCCTTTGAATTATGAAACTGATAAGAAGTGCACAGCCAATGACTACTTGAAAATGTGTGTGTGATTGAGGAGAATGTCTGAGGTGGCCACCTGAATGTTGTGTGAAAGAAAAAAGCTACATGAATGTGTGACTGTGTAAACTTAAAAATACTTTCTGCCGGTGTCAAGATTTTAGAGATGTGTAACACGATTCTGTTGAACCATAGTGAATCCTTATCCTGAATATGAATTCTTCAAATTCCTATCATGAGTAGTGAGGTTTTAGTTATCTCAAGACTAGCCCTGTCCAGCTAGCTGTTTGATCTGAACTGAGGTTAAATAAGAGGTTCTTACATAAATTTGGTGTTCTATTTCTGCCTTGCTTCAGAAATTTATGAAAGTTAAATCTCAGGTAGAGTTTTTCTACTGCTGTTGTTCCTTAGCTGTGCGAGCTGCGCAGGAGATCACTAGTTTTAAAGCGAGTAAAAACCATAAGCCAGCAAACATTGGTGCAGACTGCAAGGTTGGCAGAGCCCGAGGCAGGGTGCACCACTGTGCATCCAGGTGCCCGGGAACCATTCTCACAATTCATGGAAAAGCTGCGAGACGCTGTAGAGAAACAAGTTTTGTGACAGTTACAGAAGTTGCTAGTTACATAACTAGCTAGAGATAATGCAGGCTTGTGCCGGGGTGAGGTCCTTAAACCATCAAATAATTGCATTTGCATCTGCTATGGCAGTAGTGAGAGTCATTTTGAGCTTTTCTGTGTTTTCCAAGATTTAAATCGGGAGTTGTCGATGTTGCTGCCTTGTTTGTTCAGCTCGTTGCGGGGGAGCCTTTAGGCTGTCTAAGCCATCCTGCGTGCTTTCTCAAAGAACATCTGCAGTGTTGTGGATAGTGTGTCTTCAGGCCTCCTGGCTGGAGGCCAGAGCAGACCAGTTATGTTGATCAGTGTGACCAGAGCTGAAGTGTTGTTTTAAAGAGTCCTTATATATTGTCTTCAAAACCCCTCCCGTGCAACAGCTGGTAGCAATATTCGTTGTAAAACGGCTAGTCTCTGCTCCTTAAAACATGCCCTACCCATAGCAACTGTGTTCTCAGCAAAATAGCCTCACTGATTGTGATTACTCCTTGTTTCATAGCAGAGTATTGCTTGCATAATTTGACTAGTGAATGTTTAGGGTTGTAGGAAGGCACCTGTATTCTTTGTGATGCTCAAAGCTTGCTGTTAATTGTCCAAACAAACAAACTTCTGTAGTCATTCCAAGAGTTAGGGTTGTGATACTAGGAGGTACTGCTCGGAGTTTTCTTTTAGAACATACAGATCCTGTGTGACCTAAACAATGGCTCCTACCTACAGAACAGCTGTTGGCCCTGCAACAGCTTGTCAAAAGGCAGCTTGATGCTGATTACATTGAACTATCTCAGAATCCTTTAATTACCCCTGTGTTTGTGATAAAGAAAAAATCTGTGAAATGAAAACCTTTGCATGATCTCAGACGGGTTGGTACAGTCATGGTTAGTAAGCATTGGCTTACTGCCCCCTTCTGTGCTTTCTGCTGAATAACCCATTGTTATTATTGATTTGACAAGTTATCTTCTCACAATCCAGTTAGATCCCAGTGATAGAGAAAAAATGTACATTTTTAGTTTCATCTATTCTTCGTGCAGAACTTTATGAGTGTTATCCATAGAAAACCCTCTCCCATAGAATGAAAGGCTTTTCTATAATTTGTCAGTGGTTTATGTTTCCAATGCAATTTTCTGACTGTCTTTGTTGTCATTATATAGATGACATTTCTGCTGGCTGTAGCCACTGAGGATCAGCTGGGTGTGTTGGACGCTGAAACCAGAAATGGTCTACAATTCTTTGGCCTAGTAGTTACTTCTGACACGGTGCAGTGAAAAGTACCCTGGAAATATTTAGAGTTCACGTACACAAAAAGCAGTCATTTCTCAACCAGTTTAATTGGGTATTAATGCTAAAACTCTTACTGACATACAGTAGCTACTAAAGTCTTTGGGTTAGATTGCATCGTACCTGCAATTGCCAAACACCCAGCTGGCACCTCTATTTGACCTGCTCAAACATTCTGACAATTTTCAAGGGCAACAGTTGCAGGAGTGAGTAGTCTTACTCTGGCAAAAGATCCCCAAGAGTTAGATTTAATGAGATCACTGTCTGTACGTAACACAAGTGATAATGGAACTCAAACCTGTTTAATGTTGGGATTATTTCAATCTAGATTAAGTGTTTATCAAAGCCACAACTTGTCCAGCTGGCACAAACTGCCTAGCCTGTACACAAAAGAACTGTAGAGCCTGGGTGAAACAGTAGAACACACAAAGAAAGTAACAGTAACAACTAGTCCTATAGACTCGTAGCTTCAATCTCTTTTTAGTTCTATGTCTGAATGAGTTTTAAGTTTTGTTAAAGAAAAACCTACGATAGTTGTTGACAATTGTTGTAATTTTAGTAATAGTTCGTATTGCTTTTTCTTGTATTGTTAAACGTGTAAGTGCTATAACAGAGAAAACATTGTTGGCCCAGAATAAAAAACCGGGGGTATTTGTAGGGAATTGGCTATAGAACAGGGCTTGCCTAGGCCGTGAGAAAATCTGAGATAGCAGAGCTACAGTGTCTTTGTGCCTGCTAGAGCTACAGTGTCTTTGTGCCTGCTAGAGCTACAGTGTCTTTGTGCCTGCTAGTTGGCTGGTAAACAGGTCGTTGTGATTAGCAAAACAAAAAGCAACTGAAAGCCACCTGTGTCAACAAAGGAAGGGAGTGAGAGACAGAATTAACATCTAAGTGTCAACAAAGGAAGAGATTAAGAGGTGAGATCAACATTTAAGCAGAACCAATAATGAGCTTAACCTTTGCAATATGTATGAGCTAATTATAAAGCATATCTTAAGCTGTTAACAATGATCAATAAACGAAGCTTGCTGATTCTCATATTGAGGGTCCCTTTCTTCCCTCCTCACGACCAAGGTGACTGGTGTGACAGGGGTTAAATTGGGAAAACATTGGGGAATTCCTCAGTTTCCCTATTTGCCAAACTCAGCCAAACCTGTGCTAGGAAGAGATGGACTGGAGTCTCTGATCTCCTGAGTAGTTGTTCTGCATGATCTGGGAGCCTCTGGGATTAGACTGGACTGGGTAGACAGGGAGCAGTTTGTCCTGTGGAGTTGGGCTGGGTTTGTTGAGGATGCCTTGGGAGGCAGGGCTGGAGAGGCTCCTCTGTTGGCTGTAGTGGTGGAAGGTTGTAGCAGGAGGGCTGGAGCCTTCGACCTCCTGCTCCCCCCGTGAGCCCCGCCGGGACCGTGCCCTTGGCAATGGAGGGCCCCCCATTGCTGAGCCAGCGGTTCCGGGGGCCAGGAGGGATGGGATCAGGATGCCGAGCTCCACCCAGGGCCAGGGCTGCCAATGTTGTAACCGTGGAAAGAACTGAAAGCAGAGTGAGATGGAGGCCAAGCTCCAGCACAAGGATGGGTGAGAAAAGACCGTGGTCCTCAGGTGGAGCTTTGAATTCCCTGGAAAAATGGATCCTGTCAGACGGTTCAGGCCCTCGTGGGTGCTGGAGCAGAGGCCTCTAATTTATGGTCAGCCTAAAAAGTTGCAAGGGCAGCAAGTTTTGACTGCAGGATGAGGTGGGAAACCAAGTGAAGTGGTCCAGAGAAAAGCTGAGCTTAAAATTGGTCCTGTGCCAGAGCAGCCTTGTGCAGGTGCTTGTTGCTGTCCCTGAGTGTCCCATTGCAGTGGATATTTCCAAGGGCTGCCTTGTGCTGGGGAACACTGAGGGCAGTTCCCTTTCCCTGGGCACGTTTCCCCCCCTCGAGGGTGGCTCCACAGTCCCACCCTCTTTATGGCCCGTGCCATAAAGTCCCAGGACAGAAGTGTGAGTTTGAGTGGGAAATGAGCAGCCAGGAGGGTTTGAAACAGCTCAGGGAGCAATTCAACAGGCTCCGGACCTGTGGCCAATACGAGCCAGAGAGGGGGAACTAAAGGTTCCTGCCAGTGCTAATGATGCCCCTTGGAGCCTCTGGCAGAAGTAGGGTAATGTAAGGGGGGAACTGTTGAATGAGATGATCAATGGAGCATAGAGGTGTGAGAAAGAAATCCTGTTAGGATGTGAAACCGGCTCGAGTATGGTACAATGGAACTTGATGGCACAAGCTAATTGTAAGGTCCATTGTGCTTTTCAGCAAGTCAGCCTGATCTCCCGTTCTGAGAGCTGAGTTCTTCCTTGGTTCTGCTACACCTTGCCAGATAGATACCTCTGCCCTTGAAACACAAGGGTAGAGGTCATCCATAGGGGTGAGAAAGATGCTGGTGAGAGGAAGATGATGTGGGCAGGGGTGGCTGGCCCCTTGCCCTACAGGTAGGGCAGGCCCAGACTGTTGCCATCAGGCAATGATCAGGCGGTGTTTGGCTGCCATTCAGGCCTCCCCTTACACTGCGTCCTGGCCCTACGTGGTGTAATGTGGAGCTGATAAAAATGGGCTGTCAGGACTGCTGAGCTGAGCGATCCTCATCCTGCCACCGAGCCTGTGTTGCTCCGCGGGGACGCCCGCTAAGGGATGGGCACCGACCAGCTGCTGCAGATCCTGACAGCCCTGGCCTGTCTGTGTGGGTAGGCAGAGTTTAGTGATGGGAAGACTTTAAATATCCTTTAGTGTTCCTTTAATACCCTTTATTTAGTACTCATAATATTTTCCCTTTAATTTCCCCTTTTACTAACCAAATAGCGTGTTAATAGTTACCCATAATATTGTGTGAAGATCCTTTTTGGTATCCCTTTGACTCCCTTTTTACTAGTTATTATTATAGTGTATTGAATGCTGTTCTTAGTATTTGTTTTAATGCCACATGACAAGGTAGTTCATTTGTATCCTTTTTGAACTTTTGATTCTCTTTGCTAAGTTTATTATTCTTCTTCTTCTCACTGCAATAAAGATATTTTGTGTGTTTGAATGTTTGTGGCACTTGTCTTTATTCCGGGCATGTATCCCAACGAACTGTTCCAGGTAGGAAGGAAGTGCCCTTAGGATTTGGGAATAGGAAGTTACTGGAAGCCAGCCCAAGATCGACCCTGTTGGAGAAGTGGCTCTGAGTACGTTATTGGGCTTTAGTGGGAACAACAAATGATAAGAGGGCCTGAAGTCCCCCTAAGGCCTTGGGTCAAAAGCTCCTCCAGGGTGCACAGGCCAGGCCATGCTCAGGAAGGCAGCCCCATGAAATGGAGATGGTGTATCCGAGCCAGAGCCAGAGCAGGGGTCGGGGCAGGAGCGAGGCCTCGTGAGGGAGTTGCCAACGGCCCTGTGGTTTAAGCAACAGGTGTAGATCCCCTGGACAGTGAGCACAAATCACTGGGGCAATGGGGCAAAGCCCCAAAGCAAGTGCTGGGAGAAGAGAGGGAGCATGCATGGCTCACTGCTGGGTCAGCCAAATCTATCAGGGGGAGGCACTTTTGGAAAGCAGGAGCAGATAACCCGTGCCAGAGTCACGACGGGGGGAGGCAAAAGTAGTCCATGCCATAGTGTGTATATTGTAATACAAAGAAATAAGGCACAGAATGACTTAATGGGTACCAATGAACTGATCTGGAGGACTGTATTCCCATCCTGGATTGCAAAAATTAACTGGCTGTTGTCTCCTGAATTGCTGCAGTGCACCGACTGATATCGTGCTGGAAAAATAACACACTTCAATGTAAGTAAACCAGGGATTTTTGTATGTAAGTGCAAATTATTGCCCTGCAAATTTGAAATAAGACTTGACTTGATCACCAAATGCAAACAGTAACTCTAGGGGTCAATTAGTGAGCTTTGGGCATCAGGTTAGAACAGCTCACTGCTCCCCACTGCTGGGACATATTTACAGGATTCTCACCACCTGCTACAAAGTTTTGGAACACTTTAATCCATCCACTAATCCCAGTAATTATTGTACTGACTTTATGAACAACAGAGTTGCTGTCTCTGGGATCAATGCCAGGAAGGTGCTTCTCCCGTGTCTCTGCCCTGCCCAGGGCTCAAAGGACCAAAGGAAAGGATGAGAAGTTGGCTGCGAATTGAGCCCCGGGGCTGCTGCCCCTGAGGAGCAGGGTAAGGGCTGTGTGTGCTCAGGGGCCCTGGCTAAAGGCTGCAGGTGCTGTGAGTGTGTGCTGGGCCAAGGCAGCCAAGGTGTGTGCAGCTGTTCCGTGCCCTCTCCCCTTGGCCCCGCCGGGGCGCCTGCCCAGCGCTCCAGGGGTGGCCAACGGGGAGCTCAGGCCAACCTGCCCGTGCCCACGGCCCCACAGTGCCAGGCCTGGCCTAAAGCCGGCTTGGTTGGGCAGAGCCTGGCCAGCGGGATCCCCTTGGAGCCGCCCCGCAGCCTCCCCGGGGGTGGAGGCACCCGCAGGAATTGTCCCAGTGCTGGAGCCTGCGGGATCGGCTGCCCCGGGGCTGCCGTGTGGGCTGGGGGGGAGCGGGAGGGGCCGTGGGGGAGGGATTTCTGCTGAGCCACAGTTCTGTCTCTGGGGCAGTCAGGAGGGAATGCCTTGCTCCTTTCCTTTTGTATCCCCGAAATCTGTATCCCATGTGTTGGATTGGGTTTGTTTAAGCTGTTCCTATTCTTCCATGACTGGTGGGAAGTTGTTTCCTGGAGTGCCCTGCCTGTCAGCAAAACACCAGGCCCAAAGGATCCTGCAGGTGCAGCCCTGGAAGAGTCAGGAATACTCAAAAATGCACCAGTTCTCAGGAAGTACAACTTTGTAAAACATTTATGGAGCTAAAATTCCACAGCCTTGAGCTGTTGGGTCCCAAATAATATTGGAGGGAGAGGCAGAAAATGCCACTGCTGCTGGGGCTGAACTGTGCCGTGAGTGGGCAGGACTTGGCCCTGATGCCTGAGTGCATCTTTAGGATGGATGCCAACTGTCAGCCCCTGGCTCCATAACTTGAGTAGATGGTGTTCCTGCAAGCCCAGCTGCTGTGTTGGTGGTGCTGTGGGCACCTCCTGCCCTGGCCTACTGTGACTGTGTTTGTGTTGCAGCTCAATAAAGTCCCTTTCAGTGGTGATTGTGTCATTTTGTGTCAGTTCCTTTCCCCTGCCCCAGTGGCTGCATCACTGCCTTGTGCCTAAATGAACTCTTCCCCTGCAGCAGTTCCCTGCTGCTCTCAGAGAGGGTGGAGCTGAGGCCCCTGAGCAAAGGGAAAAAGGATCCATCCAAGGCAGGCCCGTGCTCCCCCCCTGCCTTCCTCCAGCCTCCCGTGTTTCCAGTTCCCCTCCCTGC